CCTGCAATTTCAAAGGACTGAAGCTCTCAGACCTCTGCATTCAGGTTTGCTGATGCACCCAATGTGTAGAGGGTGCACAGCAAAAAGACTCAATTTACTCACAGAGCTCTCAGAGCTCCCTACCAAGTTTGCTGATGAAGGGCATTATTTACAAAGCCAATATCTTCATGATTTCATCTGCTCACTCAGGACCAACCACACCAGAATGAGCAGGGAACCATTTGATGATGACAACAATACCAATCCTGTTGTACAACAATTGCCCTACATGTATCCAACTCCTGCAAACATTGGGCCTGTGTCAGGGGACAACCCCCAGGCCCCCATGACCCCTCTCTATGGCCCACAGCCCCATCTCAGGGCACAGTACTACTGTGGGTAAGAAAGTGAGAAGAAGGTAAGCTTCTCACTTTCCCACAGGACCATGAAAACTTCCAGAGATATCCAGAAGTCACATGAGGGGTGGGGTGCTCATGTGGGAAGCACAGTGGGCAGATGCAGGTCTGGATCTGGGTCTAGGTCTGGGCTAGTCAGGGTGTGTGCCCTGACAGCCTGCCTGTCATATCCATCTATGGCCATCATCCTCCACTACCTCTGATCCTTCCGGACTACCTCCGCTCCTTCATCACTAACCTCAGAGCCCCATATTCCACAATCACCTCCAACTCCCTCAATGGTCACCACCCCCTCAATTCAATATATTACCTAAGCCTCCCTAAGTATGGAACCCCAAAGGCCTTTGGACAGCTCCGACATCCACTAGCACACTCCCGCCCCCACTGGGCAATTCACTTGCTTGCCCTGCAAGTCTACCTTTGGGCCTATCCCTCCTTTCCGTTTCTGGGTTATAGCCTGCCATTCCACTAACCCTGTAACCCGACTCATCAGTAATATTCAGTTGGCTAATGTTTAACTCTGTTAGCTCCACTCTGCTCAGTCCCACCATTCATGGGCCCACCCTTGCTGTAACTATATATACTTAACTTGTAGATAGGTTACACCCTAGTGATAAAATCGACTAGAGTTAATCCCCCTTTAATTCTCACTGCCAGTAAGTAAATTAGGGCATGGACGTGTAACTAGGCACAGCACTCCTGGTCTGAGTCACTGAGGCCGAAGCCCTCCACCATGGAGACATCTCCTTTGTCTCACATCCAGTCTCTAACACTGCCCAACCTGACCCACAACAGTCTTGATAGACCTAACACAATCAGAGAAGATATAGATGTGTTGGAGGCCTTGTGTCAACATCCTGTCCTTGCACAAATACCTCATCTCCCTTGCTGCAGCACAAAGTGCCCTCATCTCAGCATTGCTTGATCCCAGTGGCCCATCCATTGAACCACCCATCGCAACAATTTCATAGCCATCATGATGCTGTAGCCTGTCCTGATTACCCCATTTCAAACAGAATGAGAACCATCACAGTAAACAAAAAGATATGACAGGCCAGATTTGTTTCATGCAATGAATTTGCTGTGTTGGGTAACCCACACTTGTCAGTGTGATGCTCAATGAGCAGGGGAGGGGATGATGACCTCCAGATAATCCATTGGATGCAGAAGTGTAGTCTGCATGGGAAGTTGCAAAACTGGGGGGATGCTGGCAATGAAAATGAAAAGGAAATACAGGATATGTGGGTAGAAGACTTGGGGAAGAGCCTGGGGTGTATGGTGTGTGTTTTATATGTTGAAATATGTAGAAACCATGTTTTTGTGGTGCACAGGTTTATCCTGGTAACAGCATTCAACAACTTCACAACAACAAACTCCTTTGACATAAACAACAGTGATGCAAGGAGGGGAGTCACTGACAACAATGACAAGTGGCTGAACACAACTGTTGCAATGCAATGCAGGATGGTGCCAACCCCATCTTCAGAGGTGCAGAGCTGTAAACAACCCTGTTACAGCCAGCATGGGTGTCCTCCAAGAGTTGTAATCAGCTGGAAGATCAACTCCATGATCATTGAGGAGACTATAAAGGGATCATTTATCATGAACAGAGATGGTAGAATGTGCATGTTGCTTTTCCAGAGGAAGATGGACAACCCCCTTGAGGTGGTGCACAACCAATGGCTGTGAAGTCTGCCAATCAGAGAGTTCATGAATGACTTGGCCCAGTGGCTCCCATGTCTGTTAATTGTCTTCTCCTGGCCTAGAGCCATCAGAATCTAGAGAGCATGAGCTTGATAGCATATTCCAAGGCTAGCTAACTTACTGAAAGATTTGACCTCACCTGTCTTGCTCTTCAGGGAGAGGAGACAGGAAGGGTCCAGCACAGCATTGCTGAGAGGAGCAACCACAGAGGGAGACCCTCTGTCAGAGACTGGGTGTGGGATGAAGGAGACATCCCCATGGTGGAGGGCTTTGGCCTCAGCGACTTAGACCAGGAGTGCTGTGCCTAGTTACATGTCTGTCAGAGACCAGGTTGAGATGAAGGAATGTCTCCTTGGTGGAGGGCTTCAGCCTCAGCGACTTATGCCAGGAGCGATGTGCCAAGTAACACGTCCGTGCCCTAACTTACTAACTGGCAACCAGAACTGAAAGGGGGTAAACTCTAGTCGATTTTATTACTGAGGTGTAACCTATGTACAAGTTGAGTATATATAGTTACAACGAGGGCGGGCCTGCAAATGGCGGAGCGGAGCTAATGGGGTTAGACATTAGCCGATTGAATATTACCGACAAGTCGGGTTACAGGGTTAATGGAATGGTAGGCAATAACCCAGAAACAGAAAGGAGGGATAGGCCTGAAGGTGGGCTTGCAGGGCAAGCGAGTGTATTGCCCAGCAGAGGTGGGAGTGCGCTAGCAGACATCGGAGCTGTCCAGAAGCCTTCAGGGCTCCGTACTTAGGGAGGCATAGGTAATAACTTGAAAGGAGGGGGTGGTGACCATCGAGGGGTACCAAGGAGATTGCGGAATATGGGAGCTCCGAGGTTAGTGAAGAAGGAGCAGAGGTAGACCGGAGGGATCGGAGGGAGTGGAAGTCGATGGCCGGGGATGGATATGACAGGTTGTAACTTACCTCAGTCTCAAGCTATATGCATGAGAACTGAGGGAAAAGAAACCAATTCAAAAGAATGTGTCATCTTTGCAGATAAGTCTGAAATGACCAAAATAAGAAGAAAGTGTAACTTGTGGGAACAAGTCACATGGTGTAACCAAGTAAACTTGGTCAGCCCAGCAATGTCTGTCTGGAAGAGGTTGCACACTAGTGCCTTTCAGCATCTGTCATGTGAGTTTTCCCACAGGTTTGCATGTGGGCTTGTAGCTGTGTGTACACATAGAAAAATATATAAAAATACAGGTGGCATGTGGGAAGATGAGGAAAATAGGAGGAGGCCAGGGAAGGGGGTTCCAGGGCTATATGGTCAGGTGTGGTGCCCTGACACTATGGTACAGTGGACCACATCAACAATGATCTCCATCATGTTTGGGGTCAACTACCCAACTCCTACAACTGTCATATCCATACAATCCCAACCTCTGCTCCGGGCTCCCGGAACTCCGAACTCCGACTTCCGGAGCCCTACTTCCCTTCCGTCACCTTCTCCTTGCCGACTCCCAAGAGGTTATCCCACCTCCGGCTTGGACACCACCTTTGGTCCAACTCCGGAACATTCCGGGTCCGACCTCAACCTCGACACCATCCAGACGAGTATGCAAAACCTATGCTCCCGACTCCGGACCTCTGCTCCAGAATCCCGTTCGCGTCTCCGTCTCTGGAACCTCCGGTCTTAGCTCCGACCTCGGACTTTGACCCCACCTCCGCTTATACCCATTGTATTGGTTAGCTCATTCCATTTAATTATGTTTGCCAATATTCCGGAGTTTAACCTCCGAGTTCGGACTTTCCAGACTTACTCCGGACCTTGCAACTATTGCATTGTCCATTTCAATTCCGCTATTCTCCCTCATTCCTATTTGGGCTGCTGCTTCCTTCTATTCAGTCAGCTAGCCATTCCCGACTCCCATCCTCCTTCCTTCCTCCTTGGGCCTTGGCCCTTCATTCCTCTTTTGGGAAACACCATTGAGTCAAACACTTGACCCTCGGTGTTGTTCCTCTTTCCATCTCCCTTTGTCTCCTTTTGTCCTACCCTTGTTCCTTTTGATTCCGGACCCCTCCTTATATACAATGTACCTAGTAACTTGTAACCTCAGTCCGAAATCGACTGGAATTCCCCCCCAAGAGACTTTCCCTCTGCTAGATCCGAAATTAGGGACCCCTAGGACAACCAGCAATGGCACAGTGCTCCGCCTGAGTCGCTGAGGCCGAGGTCCTTCCATGCTAAGTCTCCAATTCCATTCCGGAGTCGTCCGAATCTGCACATTCTAACAACAACTATCCCCCAAGTATCTAACCATTCCATGTTAAGGAATGCCCCCTTGAGTTCTACCACATCTTTCAAAGCTTTGTCTATGAGTGCAAATTCAATCCTGAGACCATGGAAGAACTCCAAGTGGCTATGGAGATGTATTGAGTGGATCAAGATGTTTTGTTTGTGGATAAAACTTGGCCAGTTGAGTGAAAGGCAAGGTTTTGGAGGTAGTGACACATTACCCCAGAGACTTCACACTACAATCCCAAACAACTACAAACTCTTATTTCCATATAGGGAAATTCAATAAAGGGAAATTTCCTTTTATAGAAACTTAGTAGGGCTACTAGGATGGAGAAAACATATTATTTTGGTTCTATCCCATTTGCTATTGGTTATCTAGTTTGTAGCCTGACCCCATTTGATACACTGATATTTTTTAGTTCCTTGCAGTTGACTTGTACCCTACCACCACACCATACCCTAGATCCTAAATGGAACAGCTCCAGAGACCTAACAGCTCTTTACCAAGACGCTGAGAAGCTAATCCATGCTGAGCATCCTCTATATGGCCTCTACAACAAGGTGATGGAGCTGGCCCTATACTACATCTTCCCCTCTCAGGGCTCCTTTGGATTGTATCCACAATGACCATTGGACCCCCAAGAGACCAGCAACATGGCTATCAACAGAAGCACCAAGAAGGAGAAAATAACTATTCCAGACTTTATTCTGTTCTGGATCGAAGGAGTTCATCCACAACAGTGCTGAATGCTGATTGAGATTAAGAGACACCCAACATGTTGGTTTTCCCCTCCAGACATATTTGAAAATTTTGATGATAGGTTCATAGCCACTGTGCTGTCTGAAGGGCTGGAAGAACACATGAGGGATGATTTTTTGGCAGCGGTACCAGTTCACCTTCGCCAAATCATCATTCAAGTATTTGTGGCATTTCATACCTATCCTCAACAAGAAATAATCCATCACACCCTGATCATTGGGGCATTCTGTGTGAGGAGCTTTGAAATTTAGATGTCTCAGCAATAATGCTGTGTCTCAATTGATCCCCTGTGACCACATCAGACCACTGATCTTCTCCCAACCCACCCTTGTTCATAAGCATCACAAGGATATCACCAGCCTTCCTCAAATGCATCCTGACATGTCTTCCATCAGACATAAACATCTGGAGCAACAACAATGGTCCAGCTCAACTAGGCAGTGAGGCTGTCACTTCATTCACTTCAGAACCTGAAGTAAGTGTCATCACATCCATCAGTGTAGCATCAAACTAAATGCAGGTCAGGCCATAGTGAAGGGGGAAGATTTACTTGACCAGTTTTACCCTTATGATGATTCTAGTGATGAGATGGTAGTATCAGAGGACTCCAAGGACTCCAAGGCTGCAGACCCATCGTATGTACCTGGGGAGGGTGTTCCATTTGATGCTGTTATGAATCTAGCAGGGCAGGATTGAATTAGTTTTTGTCCCTGTGCCACAAAAAATGAAGTGAGTGTACTGATCATGACAGATTTCCCTGTCCCTCCCTTGCCTAATAGCAGCATTAACAGCTGTTCTCCACTCCCACCATTCATGGTGTTCAACACATGTGTTGAGATCATCTTGAATGCATGCTTTTGGTCTGTTCAAAGTCCACTGAAGTACATAGTTCATGGAATGGCTCCAGATTGTTTAGTGGAGTGATTCCACCATGCATCTTGATGCCATGCCAAACATGCAACTTTTTCTGCCCAAATTGGGGAAATTGTGGTCCTGAAATCATTGAAAGTGGGCATGGAGAGAATGGATCTCCATTGAAACCTGCATACTCAGGACCATCTTTCTCTGCAACAGCAAAGTGACAATGGCACGAATAGAGAACTATTTTGGACTAGACACTTACAGGCTGATGAAGCACATACTTAAATTGTCAAGGTATCGTCTATTCAGTTCATTCCTCACATGTGGCCCTCTGGGGAATACACCTTATTATTGGCTGAGCTTGCAAAGCATCTGTTTCTCTGGCTCTCTGCTGACCTGTAGAGATGAACATCATCATCACAGAAGACCTTCTCCCTGAATGGTGGTACATGGAATCCTTTCATGCTCTGACTGCAGCATACAAAGACTGCAAGCGGTCAAGAAGTTTCAAGTATCCATTTTACACTGTTTACAAGAAAATATTGAGCATGTGTATAACTCACATCAGTCCACCCTTTGGAGGCACCATCATATTGAGTCCACAATGACGTTTGGACAGCCCAACAACAGTGTTCAGCATCCATCCAAATGGAAATGTCACAAAGTACCTGATGGCTACTCCAGATTCTGTTCTGATACACTATCCAGGTCCCATTGGATGGAATGACTCACAGAGGTGCCAGCTGCTGATTGTGATTAAGAGGCAGCCAGTCATAAGTCAGCATTCCTTGAGAGAACCTCCAGCTAGACCATATAGCTGGATCACAGACCACAATACTATGGACTTTGCCCTCCCCCTGAGAGATGACTTTGAAGGTCATCTTGGCCAGGTCATACTTCAAGCCTTTGTGGTGTTCCATTTGTTCCCTGATCAGGATATTATATATCATGCACTGATTGTTGGGGTGCAATTTTGTCTGTTCCAATTTACACGTCCCCAAAATCTGGTAGCACTTCCTCAAAAATTTGTGGGGGAAGGTATGGGCTGGCATTGGTTTTACTGCCAGAAGGCTAATTTTATGTACCAGGGAAGGAGCCAGGAGCCCCATGGAACAAAGTCATAGTGTCAGGGTTGATCCCCCTTGACCACATCAAGGTCGTGATGTTCAATGAACTGACATTGGCTTATGATGGGGACATGACCATATCACTAGGGTTCATGAGATGTTCCCTAACAGTGATGCCACCAAATGTTTGGGTCTGCAACCATCCTTGCCTTCCCCTAGGGAGTGAAGCTGTGACTGGATTCACTCCGAAAGCTGGAGTAAGTGAAATGTTTATCAGTGTTAGTTAGCATTGCTCAATCCAAGTCAGAACATAAGTGTGGGCAAAAATCTGCTTAGGGCCTTCTACAAAGAGGAGAGCGATGAAGTGCTCACCGTTGTATTCAAGGATAGGGACTCTGAGGCTGGAGACCCATCATATGTACCTGGACAGGGGTCATAAGGAGCGAAAGCTAACCATGACAATGCACAGGTATGTAGCCAATCTATAGAAGAACCCGGCAAAAGGCATTTGCCACTGCACCCTCGGGACATTCCGGGCTTGAAAAAAAAAGAGAAAAATCACACCTTTCTAATGGTACCAATACTGAAATTTGGTTCAGCGGTTGAAAAGTTATAAGCATCGACATTTCTGCACCCTGCACCCTCGACATGAAGCCTCGATGTTTTCTCGGTCAGTTTTGAGAAATAGCTGCTCTGGGTAAGGAGATATGGGACAAATAAAATTTTGAGGAAAAAAATAATTGATAAATTGATAAGTAGATGAAGAAAATAGGGAAAAATGCGGGGTGTTTTGGAGTGGAATATGGTGAGGAGATAGAATGGGGAGATATTTTATTTGGACTTTTTTGGGGAAGTTTTTTTTTGAAGGTGCACTTGGGTGCAGTGTCATGACCCGGCAATTCCCACGGTCAGGTGACCACTCCCTGCACCTTCTCCCTCCTCTGCTTCGACCCCATCAACTCCGCTGCCCGCCCAACACCACCTGAGCAAGCCCATCATCCCTCCTGCCACTGCTACCTGTTCCATGGCCCGTCATGGGCCTATGAGTCATTCCTTATTATGCTTGTTTTCTTGATGGCCATGCATGGCCATCCTTCTCCCACACTCTTTGTTTGTTTTTGTTCCTTCTTAAGTCCACCCACAATCTCCATGAGATCTGGTGACTTATTCCTATTCATTCCGTTACACTTAAATACCAGTTGTACACTACCTCGTACTTTAGTTCGAAAATCAACTAGGGTTACCCCCTGCACTCCCTGTCTGACCCAGTCGCACCCTCTGCCCTCTGAAATATCGGGGCTGCATCAAGTATGAGGCACAATGCTCATGAACAAGTCATTGAAGCCAAAACCCCGCTTTGCTGCGATTGTCATCCCTGCCCTTAATGGGCTGTTATGCCATAGTAGTGGACCTTAATGGTTGCCGACGGCGAGTCATGGTAACATTTTCCCACACCCTGCAGAGGGTGCAAGTGAGGGTGCAAGTGAAATAAAAAGTGAAATATCTAGGTGAAAAAAATAGATATAAATATGGGGTGTTTTTCAGTGTGATATAATTAGGAGAGAGAGTGGAATAATATTTTTTGAGGGTGCACTCAGGTGCAGTGAGGGTGCAAGTTCAATTAAAAGTGGAATAAGTTTTGACTGGATGGACGAAAATTGGAATGGTTGATAGGGTCAGGAAGGAGTGATTTTTGTGAAAATTATAAAAGCAAAAAATGAGAAGTGGCTGTGCAGTTTTTGCACAGCCACAAGAGAAATTTTTTGATAGGAAGAAAGTGGGAGAAGCGAGCGAGGAAGGTTAGAACTGAAATTGAGAAAAGGACTTGAGAAGTCAACAAGGTAAGAATGCGACAATGGGACAACTAGACAAGGGAAGAAGCAAAAATGAAAAACTAAGGAACTAAAAAAAAAGGTGAGAACTGAAGTTTGAAGTTGAAGTTGAGAATCTAAGAAGGTCAACTAGACAACTAGACAACTAGACAAGGCAACAAGATGACAATGGGACAAGGTGACAACTAGTGTCATGACCTGGCAATTCCCATGGTCAGGTGACCACTCCCCACACCTTCTCCCTTCTCCACTTTGACCCTGTCAACTCTGCTGCCCACCCAACACTGCCTGGACAAGCCCATCACCCCTCCCCATTATTGCTACCTGTTCCAGAGTCATTCCTTATCATGCTTGTTTTCTTAACAGCCATGCATGGCTGTCCTTCTCCCATGCTCTTTGTTTGTTTTCGTTCCTTCTTAAGCCCACCCACAATCTCTGTCATATCCATCCCCGGCCATCGACTTCCAGTCCCTCCGTTCCCTCCGGTCTAACTCCGCTCCTTCTTCACTAACCTCAGAGCTCCCGTATTCCGCAATCCTCTCGGTACCCCTCGATGGTCACTACCCCCTCATTACCTACGCCTCCCTAAGTACGGAGCCCCGAAGACTTCCAGACAGCTCCAACATCCGCTAGCGCACTCCCGCCTCCGCTGGGCAATACACTCACCTGCCCTGCAGAGCCCACCTTCGGGCCTATCCCTCCTTTCCGTTTCTGGGTTATCGCCTGCCTTTCCACTAACCCTGCGACCTGACTCATCGGTAATATTCAGTCGGCTAATGTTTAACCCCGTTAGCTCTGCTCCGTTCAGCTCCGCCAATTGTGGACCCGTCTTTGCTGTAACCATACATATATCCCACTTGTACATAGGTTACACCCCAGTAATAAAATCAACTAGAGTTACCCCCCTTTGGTTCTGATTGCCAGTCAGTAAGTTAGGGCATGGACATGTCACTAGGCACAGCGCTCTTGGCAGAAGTTGCTGAGGCCAAAGCCCTCCGCTACGGAGACACTCCCTCGTCTCGAATCTGGTCTCTGACAATCTCCGTGAGATCTGGCAACTTATTTCTATTCATTCCGTTACACTTAAATACCGGTTGTACACTACCTCATACTGTAGTTCGAAAATCAACTAGGGTTACCCCCTGTGCTTCCTGTCTGACCCAGTCTCACCTTCTGCTTCTCTGAAATATTGGGGCTGTGTCAAGTACAAGGCGCAACGCTCACGAACAAGTCATTGAAGCCGAAACCCCACTTCTGCCACAATTGTCATCCCTGCCCTTAACGGGCTGTTATGCCGGAGTAGCGGACCTTAACGGTCGCCGATGGCAAGTCATGGTAACGTTTTTCCCACGCCCTGACAACTAGACAACAAGATGACAAGGCAAGAAGCAAAAAATGGGAGAAGTAAAAAAAGTGAGAACTGAAGTTTAAAGTTGAAGTTGAGAACCTAAGAAGGTCAACTAGACAACTAGACAAGGCAACAAGAGGACAATGTAACAACACGACAAGACAAGAAGACAAGAACTAGACAAAGCTGGTGGCAAAAATGTGGAACTGTGAAGTAAAAAAAGTGGGGACTTGAGTTTGAAGTTGAGAAGGCAAGAATGCAAGAATGGGACAAGAGGACAAGGGGAACAAGGCAACAAGGCAAGAAGACAAGAAGACAAGAACTAGACTGGGGAAGAAGCAAAAAAAGGTTTGGAACTGTGGAACTTGGATGGGGACCCAAGAAGTGGACAAGGCAACAAGGGGACAAGTAGACAAGTAAGTAAAAAAAAAGTGAGAAGTTAAGAAGGTGGGAGGGAAGAAGAAGTGGATAAGTGGGCAAGTAGAGAACTGTGGAACTGAGGGGACCTGACAAGGGGACAAGAGGACAATGTTAGAACGGGGTGGATTCGGACGACTCCGGAGTGGAATCGGAGACTTAGCGTGGAAGGACCTCAGCCTCAGCGACTCAGGTGGAGCGCTGTGCGGCGGGGGTCGGGGGGTCATTCTGCAATCTCGTCTGGGTGGTAGGGTCTTACGTTCATCACGGATACAACTGGGTGTATTCCCTTTTGCCGTGCGGTGAGCTGGAGCTTGACAGCAGCCAGGGAGACGATTTTGACGACTTTGAAGGGGCCTAGCCACTTATGGTCTAGCTTCTTGGTCGGGCGGTCAGTTGTATAGTTTTGGGCGCTGAGCCAGACTCGGTCGCCTTCCTGGTACTTGGGGGCTGTCTCTCAACCCCGGTCATAGTAGTGGGCCATCTCATCTGCTGCATGCTCCAGGGCTGCCTTCACCTCTTCCTGCATCTTCATCATCCTGGACGAGAAGGCATCGGCAGCTTCTACCTCGGACGTACGTGTGGGCTCCGTCCCCATCCTGTGATGCTGCCTGGTGTCAAGCTCAAAGGGGGTTTGACGGGTGGATGAGTGGACGCAGTTGTTGTATGCGAATTCTGCCAGTGGGAGCCAGTCTGCCCAGTCATCCTGGCAGTGGTTGACAAACACCCGGAGATAGGCTTCAATTTCCTGGTTGACCCACTCTGTCTGTCCATCAGTCTGGGGGTGGTAGGGCATTGAGGGGGTTAGCTTGACCCCCAGGAGATCTGCAAGTTCTTTTGAGCAGTGTCACGGCCATGCATTCCGGCCCGTTCCCTGCCCGTCCCGATGCCACCGAGCCTGTTACCGCTATGCAAGCGTGAGCGCGAGCCCTGACCTCAGCCCTATCCTCCCTGAGGACTCCCTGCTCACTCCCCCGCTTGCCCCTAGGCTCCCCTGCACCTGGCCGACTCCCCCACAGCCACACCAACCTGAGTCCACCTCTGGCACCGTGCCCAGCGCAACTCCGCTATCCCACCCACTCAGCCCCTACAGGGCCACTATCATCCCCACACCCGACTCCGGCCCAACTCCGAGTCCAGCGCCGCTACAATACCATCACCGCTATCGCAGCCCTACGCTCTTTCCTTTATTTATTGGTTATTGTTTGTTTTGACCCTCGGTCATTGCCGGCCGCTATGTGGCCAACCCCGCTCCTTATTCTTGTTTGCTTCCAGACCCTTCAGCCTCTGGCCTGGGTCTGCTTCCATTCATTTCTTCCTCCTATATATACTCTGTATGATACTTTATTGTACCTTAGCTCTAATATCGATGTGACCACGACCCCTAAGTCCTGACCCCAACAAGGCAACCCCAGTGAGTCCGAAATGAGGGCCAAGAGACAGCTAGGGGGCACAGCACTCCCTTTAGAGTTGCTGAGGCCAAATGCCCTACCCCCGGGCCTTGTTTGCGGCATCACGGCCATCGCAGCCTATAGCGGCCTGCAACGGCAACCCTCGGTGCCGACCCCGGACCAGTGTCTAACAAGAAGCATGAAACGAAGGCACTCCCTCTGTCGCTGAGGATCTTTTCTGGGAGCCCATGGTGCTTCCAGACGTGCTCCTGGAAAAGCCAGGCGATACCAGCCAAGTCCATGGACGTCACGGTGGGGATCGCATGGATGCGTTTGGACAGACGGTCCACTACCATGAGGATGGCATTATAACCTTTCGATTCAAGGTTTTCCATCACCCTGGATGTCCCATCGCCCACATGTCGTGGTGTAGCCATACCAGATCGTGGCG